GAGTTACTGATTTATCCTCCCATCAGCATCCCACACAGGTGTGACCCGAAGGGCCGGTGGCCCATGGCTCCCTGCTGTCAGTGTGAGGCTGGGCCGTGCTGTGTGTTGGTTTGGTTGGGAGGAGACTCTGCCATTGGGTGCTCTCCCCAGTGAGATGCTCTGAGGGGCAGGGACTGGTAGCTTAGCGCAAGAGCCCAGCACTGCCACTCCCCTCCGAGGCCCTAACCCTGCTGCAGCCAACAGGGCTTGGCCTGGGTCCCCTTTGTGTGTGGGGGGTCCGGCTGCCCCAAGCCTTAAACCCGCTAGTTCACCCACTCCGCTCTGCACCACACCTCCCTGACAGCTGTGGTGACCCAGAGTTTGGTGTCTCTAGGCACTCGGCCCCTCACCCAGCAGCTGTGGAGTCAGTCTTGCCTGTGTCGCTACCCGTGGGCGCCTTCCCTGGGGTGTCTCCTTTTGTGTCCATGTTGTTACCCTGGAAGGTGCTGGTGGCTTTCAACAAACGTGTCTTTGATCTATAGAAAGTCACAGACCTGGTTAAAGCCAATGGCTGTGCTAAGCACCTGTCTTTCAGGCCAAAAGAATGCAGCAATTAAATATCATTTTGTGTAGTGATAGCTGGAAACAGCAGGAAGCCACTGACCAAGGCAATGAACCTCATGGCAAAGCTAATCACAAGCTAAGGAACGAGGAGTACTTGTGGCACCTTAGAGACTAGCATTTATTTGGGCATAAGCTTTCGTGGATTTTAGCCCACAAAAACTTATGCCCAAATAAATTTGTTAGTCTCTAAGGTGCCACAAATACTCCTCATTCTTTTTGCTGCTACAGACTAACACGGTTAGCACTCTGAAACAAGCGAAAGAGTTTCTCTGGGACTGATTGCAAATGTGGGGGGTGGGGCAAGAGGGGGAAACTGACTGGTTGTGAGTGAAATAGCAGTCATGCAGCGAGAGATGCAGCAGAGAGCAGGGCCCTGGAGGAAGCAGAGACCGGGCTGCCTTTGGGAGCAGCAGACTTGGATTTCTGAGCAAGGGACCTGCCTCCTGTTTGTTCCTGCTGGGCGCAGGGGACCGGACTCTGCCTCTGTTCTTTGAGCAGAAACAGGATTGCACCAAAGAACAGCCCTGACATGTAGCCTCTGTTTCTGCTTCTAGCGGAAACAGCCTGGCAAGGCCTGAATGAACTGCTGGGACCAAGGGGGCAATAGTGTTTTCAGCTGCAAAGGGAAATGCCCCACGAATGTTGCACCTGGCATGGGGGCGGGGTGACCTGCTGGAGCTGAGGATGTGAAGGGTTTACCGTGGATGGACTGAGGAAAGCCCCTGTGATGGGTACAGCAGCTGGACAGAGCAGAGGGTGGTCATGTGTGTTTCCTTAACCAAGAGACCCTGATGCAGCCCACCTGGATGTGTGGGACAGGTGGGGACTTTCTCTGTCCCAGGGGCTGGGGCAACGGGGTTATCTCCAGGAGGAGAAATGGGTTCCTTGCATGTGCACAGCTCAGGGGTGCCGACACAGCCCTGGAGCAGGCCTGCCAATGCTGGGAACCCTGCTTCCCTGCCTCACCGGCTCCTGGGAGCCTGGAGCGACTGCTGGGTTACGAGAAGCTTTGCAGGGAGTCAGGCTTATCCTGATTTCCCCAACTGTTGTTCAAGGGGTCACTTCCTACCCCACCCAGGGAGAAGGGTGCCCCAGGCTACAGTAAAGATAGGGGACATCCCTCCCAGCACCCCACAACTCCTCTCCTGTGTTTGCCATCCAGCAGGAGAGCAGCTGCCTCCGGATGCCTGGCTTCTGCAGTGACTCTGCCATTTGCTCCAACATCCATGAGGAGTCTGGGGTTTTCCAGGATTCGGGGGCCTCAGGAGTCCTGCAACCAGTGAGGAAGGTCGTCACTGGCACAGCACTCAGCAGTACCCAGCTCCAAGGGGGGACGCAGCCTATCGCAGTGGAGGGCGCAGAGGAGTACAGAGCACCGCTCGGCTTGTGGCCCTCGCTGGGTTCAGTAGACTGTTGAGGGGTCCCTATGGGGTAGGGGGGGTGGCAGCCCGGGGGAGATATGATTCGGTCTCAGGGTTAGCGTATTTGAGCTATTGTAAATAGAGGGGAGCGGAGAGCCCAAAGCTTAGCCTGGGGTGCTCAGCGAACGCAAGCTCCTTCCTGGGTGCGTGCTAGGACGGGGAGCAGGAGCCTGTCACCCAGCCACCCCACCCACTACGTTCCCAGGCACTTGTAACAGGCCAAACCTGTCGGACCCGCTAGCCCGCCTCTCTGCCCGGGGGAGGCCCAGCTTGTCCAAGGAGGGGGTGCGACCCACCCCAGGCAGGTCTGAGCAGTGAGAGGAGACGTGTGGGTCTAGGAGCCCCTGGGCAACTGGCTCTGATCTCCGCATATCGCTCGGGCAGCAGGCCCGAACAGGCCCGAGGAGAGCAGCTGGGACCCATGGGACTCAGCCATCTGACTGCCAGCTCCCCTCCCTGTCCTGGGCCTGTCCCCTGTCCCAGGGCTGGTCCTCATGTCCCATGTTTGTCTTTCTTCCACAGGACAGGAGCGATTTTGTCTGTACAAAGTGCAAACTGGTCTCCATCTTGGAAGAGAAGGTTCGAGGTCCGGAGAAACAAGTATCGACCCTGCGTTGCATAAAAGAAAATGAAGATTTCCTGGACAGACGTCAGGATATACGTCTACGGGCACAACGTTCTGAAGAATCAGAGCAGGCTGCGTAGTGAGAACAGAGGGACGGTGAAGAAATCTGGCAGCATGTGACCTCCAGAAGACGAAAGAGGAGCGTCCACGTACCAGCAATGCAGAGACGGGTGAGCAACCGTCTTCATGTTCTCTCCACAGGTACTAATGCGGAGAGTGGACTAGATGATACATCTGAGGGAAGGGAGCAGGAGACTCCACCGATTGGAAGGCATGAGATGCGCTGTCCTAGGGATGGGGGTTCCACGGCCACCGCTCCCAAGAGAAGGAGGCGGATGGTGGTGGTCGGGGACTCCCTCCTCAGGGGGACTGAGTCATCTATCTGCCATCCCAACCGGGAAAATCGAGAAGTGTGCTGCTTGCCAGGAGCTAGGATTCACGATGTGACGGAGAGACTGCCGAGACTCATCAACCCTCAGATCGCTACCCCTTCCTGCTTCTCCACGTGGGCACCAATGATACTGCCAAGAATGAAGCGGATCATTGCAGACTACGTGGCTCTGGGAAGAAGGATAAAGGAGTTTGAGGCGCAAGTGGTGTTCTCG